TGGACTTCGTCCGTCAGTTCATATAGATGCCTCCTGACGTGCCTCGGCGAGGGCTCCTCTGCAAGCAGCTGTCTACTTGGGTGGCCACATCTGTGGCTCCCAGCAAGAAACTGCTTGCAGAGCATCGTGTTGTGCTCCCTAATTGGGAGCATTTTCGCCTTGTCGTGGAGGTGGTGCTCTCGTGCCATCAGGAGGCATCCAGTCGCTGTCCTGAGTGCTGTATTTTGTACCGTCTGTAGCTTCGTCCACTGCGTCCTACTAGTCCCCGGCGACCACACTGGTGCTGCGTAATTTAAAACCGNAGGCATCCTGTCGCTGTCCTGAGTGCGGTGTTCTGTACAGTCTGTAGCTTCGTCCACTGCGTCCTACTAGTCCCCGGCGACCACACTGGTGCTGCGTAATTTAAAACCGACCCGCCTATTGCCTTGTATGTTGCCACCAACGTTCCTTTGTCTTTGCCCCAAGTACTGCCGGCTAGCGACTTGAGGACTTTGTTGCGGCTTTGTACTTTATTGACAATAGCGGTTGCGTGCGCAGAGAAGGAGAGCAGGCTGTCGAATGTTACTCCGAATATTTTAAGATTATTCACCGTCGGAATTGGTGTGTCATCGACGTGAATTCAGCCTGACCTCCTTCGTCCAGGTTGTGTCGCGGAGGATTTCGTAGGGGAGAGGGCTAGACACTTTGCAGTGAAGAAGCGAGAAAGTTCAGAGAGATAACCGTTTACTTTCGAACACAGGTAATCAATTCCATTCCCGGTCGCCATGATCGATCAATTGTCGGCGTAAGAGACAATCGAGACTCCCTCTGGTGGTTGAGGGAGCTTTGAAATGTAAAAGTTAAACAGTAGTGGGGAAAGGACACCACTCTGTGGGACCGCCTGTTTTATTTTCCTAAGCTTGCTCGATTTGTCTCTAAACATTACCGACGAGTGTCGACCACTTAGATAATTTTCCGACCACCGTTTGAGTCTCTGTGGGAGAGAGGAAGCCTCTATATCTTCCAGTAGCGTGGAATGGCTGACAGTGTCAAAAGCCTTTGACAGGTCCAGCGCTACTAGAATCGTTCTCTCGCAGGGACGTTTGCGGTTAAGGTCACGAGTTATCTGAGTGTTTATGGCGTTAAGTGCTGTTGTTGTACTGTGGACTTTACGGAAACCATGCTGATGCTTCACAGGGGTCAAGTGGTTTGTGAAATACGGGAGTAGCAAGGCCTCTAGTGTCTTCGCTTCTAGAAGCATAGCTCCACCCTCCTGTGCCAGGCCCCGTAATCAGCGGTTGTGCTGCTGAGTTGGGCGAGCTTTCCAAAAGCTGGTATTTAATCGCTGGTTTTGTATGGAAAATGTTTCACATGCAAATAGATTTTAACAATTTAGAGTTTTTGTGAGAAGAAATGTAAAATATTTGACATTTTCGAGAACAAATAATTTGAAAAAAATCAAATCAGCTGCTATACTGATATTACATGTTCAATGTGCCTTGGTTTAATTGTATTTTTGGAATAAACAAAGTTCTTTTTTCTTCTGTCAGTAAACTGTTTTTTACAAATAGTATAAATAAGCAATGGGAAACAAGGAAACATTTTGGTATTATTTCCCATTTAAAAGTGAAATAAAGCAAATTTTGCGTTATTGCCGTTTGTGTTATTTCACCCCCCGATTTTCTCAATGATAATAGTTCATGAGACACGCTTTAGCCCGATTGTTTAAATTTTTCAAATAATCATTATTTTTATAAAAAAATGTATACACAAATGTAAATATTTATTACTTCTCGATCAGATTTATTAATCGTTTACATTGAATATCAATCCTTTTTCGGACTCGCAGCGAGCGTGGTGCAACCAGAGAACGCAAAAAAAATAAAATTTATTTATAAACATAAGCATAGATTATTTAGTAAAATATTTTTTAAAGTTGTATACATAAATATGTACATACATAACATGCATATTTATATATCGATGTCTAAGTGGAAGATCTACCTATCTCGGCAGCCAGTTCGAAAACGCTCTATCTCAAAAAACTTTTCAAGAACGCCCTATTTCAGAATTCGTTTCAAAAACGCCCTATCTCAGCCACCGATTCAAAAACGCCCTATATCAACATATTTTCAATACATTTTGAAGTGAGATAGGGCGTTTTTGAACCGAACTTTGAGATAGGGTGTTTTTCAATAAAATTCTGAAATAGGGCGTTCTTGAAAAGTTTTTTGAGATAGAGCGTTTTCGAACTGGCAGCCGAGATAGGTCGATCTTCCACTCAGCCATCGATATGTACGTTTGTATGTATTTATGCACGTATTTTGTCTTTACAGAGAGACATAAATAAAGAGGATAGATGGCAAGTATAATCGTTTCTGCTGTAAGTACTTTTTAACACCCCCAAAATAGTTTGCACTTGTAGCAGTTATGCTGTATACCTGAACGAAAACAAATCCTTGGTGAAAAAGTGTATTTGTGGATTCTTGTTCAAGGACATATGTATTTTTTTTTTTTTGGATCCGACACACGAAAACTAGTTCCTAGGTACCTCTAGAAAGTATTTACCAAATCTAGGCTCTTAATATTAACGGGAAGATTACGCGCATCATAGTTTTCCATTTTCACTTTAGTCTCATATAAAAATGGTCATATCTTATCACCAATAGATCGTTAAACTAGTTTCATCGTCAATATTCATAAGAAATTGAACGCTCTACGAAAATGGTATCCTATACTCTTTTCATTAATCTAACCATTTAAAAGATATTCAAGGTCAAATATTGAAGTATTTTAAGGAAAATAACTTTTTGTTTTGAATTTTGTAACTTTTTAAAAAATAATTATTGTCAAATGAGTTTCAATTATTTCTATAGGAAACTGAACTCTCTACAGAAAAGGTATGCTGTGATTAATCGATTACTCTAACCATTTAGAAGATATTCGCAGTTGAATCCCAATGCCTACTGAATTTAATAGATTTTCAATAAATATTTTCAATTTATCCATTCAATTTATGAATTTTGACAATATTCATGCGAATTTGATTTTATTTCGTTAGAATGACAGTTTGCAAATTATGTCTTACCTTTAGTTTGAGAATATATTTCTTTCGAATCATTTTTTTAACGATATTTTCTTTCTATACCTTTTATCACAATTTAGGGTCGGAATTTAATATTTTTCAACGGGTTTATTTAAAATGTCATTCAAATTTCTTTTTTCCACAAAATTGATAACTGAATATTTTTTGCTTGGGGAATTTGAAGATTTTATTTCAAATGTTGGTAGTTCTGTTACTTAGTACTTGTCATACTAGCACCATCAGTAGTTTTATGTCATTTCCGTGTTTCCTCCTATATTTCTACATTGCATATATAGTTTTTGGAGCTCCGAGTTGTGTCTTCTATTGCAATTCATCTGCTAATCATGTAATATGAATTTAATTGGCATACCGATGTCAAAAATACTTGAACTAAAATTACCAGGAGTGAAAGAGGTTATATGTGTATTTTTTCATCAACGTAGTATTCTTAAATATTCAACGTAATATTCTTAAATATTCTCAAAATTCATAAATTAAATTAATAAATTGGAAATATTTATTAAAAAACTATTAAAATCAGTAGGCATTGGAATTCTAAAGTGAACATCTTCTAAATGGTTAGAGTAATCGATTAACTACAGCAGACCTTTTTTGTAGAGCGTTCAATTTCCTATCGAAATAATTGAAACTCATTTGACAATAATTTTTTTATAGTAAGTTACAAAATTCAAAACAAAAAGTTATTTTCCTTAAAATACTTCAATCTTTGAACTTGAATATCTTTTAAATAGTTACATTAATAAAAGAGTATACGATAACATTTTGGTAGAGCGTTCAATTTCCTATAAATATTGATGATGCAACTAGTTTAACGATCTATTGGTGATAAGATGTGCCCCTTTTTATATGAGACTAAATTGAAAATGGAAAATTTTGATGAGCATAATCTTCCCGTTAACATTAAGAGCTCAGACTTGGTAAGTACTTTCTAGAGGTACCTGGGAACTAGTGCTCGAGTGTCGGATAAAAAAAAAATACTTGATTATTTTTTACCCACCCTCGTAGGCATCTATATGTATGTATATGGAGATATGGGAAAATTTGCGTAAACAAAGAATAGGGCCGGTCCACATACTTATAACTTTGGCGTTTGTTTAGGCCTTCAGCTTAAATATTACTTGTTTACGCACCACCCTAATGCCAGCATATGTACGTGCATACGTATCTGCATAGGCATACATATATATGCCTATGTGCATACACGGATACATACATGCGTACATGAATTAGTATGCGCGGTAAATTTTAATGTCCCGCCGGACAGTGAACTTTCGTTATGTTTTCCCATAACGTCAGTTATTGTCCGGCGGTCCAATTTAAGGTCCCGTAAACCTTTTTAATCACTTCGGTTTAGAAGATCAACGCGAGCGCAGCAGCTACCAGGCCACTCCCGTCCAAAACGTAATCCCCAATCACCCCCGTGTAAACATTTGGTCCTTCGAGCCGGATTCCACGGTTTACCACACCTAATACTTTTAATTTATTTATGAACACTCGGTAGCTCAGAACTTTGTCTTCAATACGAAGACACTGCCCAATATATATGGATAACAAATATATATGCCTAGTGTGTCGCGTGGTATATCTGAATTCATGACGAAGGTAGACACGGTATGCTGAAGTCCATATTCGTGAAGTGCTAAAAGAACTGAACCAGCTATTAAATGTGCGAATCTATGTCTAACAATTCCACTAATAAGGGAGCCAAACAACTTTGTAAAACCCAATGTAAAGAAGGCATTCATATGTACGCCATATTCATGTTCATCTTGTTCGTAATTAATTAACATTATGACCAGGGTACGCATGAGACCCAACACCAGCAACGGTACGACAGTCCATAAAGTTTGCTAAAGATGTGCAACTTTCGTGGGTGGTCGTGAGACAGTGCCCATTGCAAAAACAAATAACCCAATACCAACATCCATTAGGCCAACACCATAGCGACGCGTTTTTCGAAAATGTTTTGGAAACATTTCAAAATCCACAGCGAGTATGCATAGCGCCGTAAGCAGGTTGATAGTTGCACGATCAAGTGTTAATACAAATGGACGGCTGCCACCCAAATTGTACGTCCGATTTTGCTTTTTCTTTGCATAAACCACATATAATGCGGCCAACGAAAAGACGCACAAAAATATAACGGTAATTTAGAAAAATACGAAATCCTCGATAAATTAGTAAATATTAAAGCTAATTTATTCA